GGATGGACGGGCGGTGGGTGGTGGATGGACAGGTGGGGGGAAGGAAGGAAGGGAGGGAGCACTGGGTTCTGACAGCTGTGGAGCAGCCCAGACGAGAGGAGCCTCGGGAGCCCACACAGCTGGGGGGGAAGATCGGAGATGCCCAGCCAGAGGCAGTCTAGAGGGGTGCAGGGTGGATGTGGCTCTGAAGCAAGGCAGGCAGGAAGGCCTGAGAGGCCAAGGGGGAGCTGCCCCGGGGTCCCAGGACGTCGGGCCGGGCAGGGGCAGGCAAAGGCGGCCAGCCCCAGGGTGGGCTGGGCGCCAGCTGGAGGCTGCAAGGCCTCTGCCCGGACAGCGTCCCCTGCCCCAGCCCCTCAGGGAGGCCCGCACCTTTGACGTGCTTGTCCTGGAACTCCGTGAGGAATCTTGCGATGCGGTCTGAGGGGATGGCAAAGGAGATGCCAGCTGCAACCTTGAGTGTGTTGATGCCAATGACCTCGCCGTCCTGGGAGGACATGGAAGTGGCCAGTCACTCAGGGAGCCCCAGCAACCGCAGCCCTGGACTGCAAAGCACCATATCTGTGACGCGGCTCCCAGATGTGACCTGGCCACCAGCGCCTCTGCCTGGGCCCCACACTGTCCTGAAAAGGTGGCTCTCAGGTTCACTTCCGGGTCAGGGACCCCCCCCAGCCCCTCCCCCACCATTTGTCTCCAAACCTGACTCCCTCCCTCACTGGAGAGTGTCTGCCCCTCACGAGCAGTGCCCCCGACCGAGGACACCCCCAGGCAGCGTCCTGAGGGGCCAAAGCAGAGAGAGGGGTATGGCATGGGCCTGGGGGACCAGAGACCCTCTTCCTTCTAGAGGCCGGGCGGGGGCAGTGGGGCCAGGGGACGCCGTGTCCTGCTCTGTCCCTGCAGCTGGCCTCCCACCCTGCCCCCACCCGGGCATCACACCAAGGCTGGTGTGGCTTGGGCCAGATCTGCCCCTGCCACCCAGGAGCCTGCTCTGGACCCACTCCGGGAGGAAGCTCTCCCCCAGCCCTACATGCACCCCAGACCAGCTTTCTTGGCCACCAGATGGTGACAACTATACACAACATCCAGGCCAGGGGCCAGCCCTCCAGGGGCCCCCGTTGGGGCCTGGGGCAGGGCTTCAGAGCAGGGTACACATCATCGGCCTGGTCTCCTGAGCACATGTCCCCACCTGGTCCCCAGGAGCTTCCGAGGGAGGACCTGCTAAGTAGAGGGTCCAGGTGACCGAGATTTCAGCAGTGGCTTCGTGTGCCCATCCCACCACCTGGACACGGGGAGTGGCCTCTGGCCTCGGCACGAGACCTCCCGTAGGAGCTCTCTCGGTCACCAGAGCAGTGGCCTCCACCCTGCTGGGAGCCCGCAGAGCCTCTGGGGTGCAGGCGGCACTCCATCTGTGGGCCCGCCAGCCTCCTCTGCCCTCTGCCACCCTGCTTCTGCCCCGGCCCTGTGCCCACCCTATGTCCTCTCCCTGGAATAGCCTTCTGCATGGCCTCCTCCACCCCAAACCCTCAATCTCCTCAGCCCAGGTTAGATGCTCCTGCCTCCAGGAAGCCCTCCCTGCTCAGCATCCATTGAGAGCTCTCTCACATTGTACTTTGTGTGTCCACACCTGACCCCCATGGACCCCCAAGGCTGGGGACTTTAGCTGACAACTGTCTAGGCTCAGGAGCTGAACTGATTTCAACTGATTTTGAACTTCTGACTTCTGAACAGAGCCTCTGATTTATCCTGGAAATCGTCGCTGGGATGAGAATGAGCCCAACACTGGGGCCCAGGACAGACCTGTGGGAGGGTGGCTCGAGGACAAGGAGAGGATGCAGAGGCCCCTCTCACCCCACACATACATGGAGGATGAGAGGCCCCAGACCTGCCCCTTCCCTGGCCCAGGTCCGTGGTGGGCATGCGGCTGCTGTTCCCAGGTCACCTTTATTCCTCTGACAGTGCCAGCACCCCAAGGGGCTCCAGGGGACCCAGAACAGCATACACTTGGGGTCACGTCCTCCTTCCAGAGCTCCAGCCCAGTCATCGGGCATGAAGATTTGAGGGCCATATTCTGGGTCCCATCTCTACCTTGAGGCTGTGCCCCCATGTGAGCAGAACCCCAGACAACTAAAGGCCCCTGCTGTAGGGGACACTTACCAGGTTCACCAGCGGTCCCCCGGAGTTCCCGTACTGCAAGGGGAAGACGGGGTGTCAGCTGTGCCCCATGCCCCGAGCTCTCTCCCCAAGATCACTGTGGTCAGCAGAGGCATGTACAGACATGTACAGGCATGTAACCGAATTTGATCCCCCAACAACCTGAAAAGCCTCACTGCTCCCCCCATTGTGCAGGTGAGAAAACTGAGGCCCATGGAGGCAACTGTTACCTGGGTCTGACCTGGGCCAGAGCTTTCCTCACACACCACAGGCTCCCCCAGACTCCTCCACGGTCTGCGCCACTCGCAAGCTGGGCAGCAGCGGGCCGGTGCGGGCTGAGGCAGGGTGGGGCACCACTTATCCTCCTCCTGGCCTCAAGGAGGCTCGACAAAGACTAACACCTCCAGAAGAGCGCCCAGACCATGACAAGCCCGGAGAGGCGGGAGCTGGGGCATGTGGGCCAAGTGCTCTGTGCACGCCAAAGGCCCCATCGAGATGGTAATAGTGACAGCGATAGTGATGGTGAATGTCGTCGCCGGGGTGTGTGATTTGGGAAAACACGTTTCAGGGCAAGACTGTGCGTCCACATCTCTGAAGGGTGGCCCTGGGCCAGGGCAGCAGCCCCTAACTCCCAGGGCAGACCTGGCACCTGTGGGTGGAGGTCACAGGGAGTCAGAGCTCCACTTAATGTAAAGAACGAACTTCCTAGTGACGGGACATGCGGAGTGCCAGAGTGGGCTGCGGGGCAGGGAGCGCCTGCCAGCGGCTGCCGCCAGGACTCACATTAATGATGGCGTCCGTCTGGATGTAGTCCATGTCGGAGTCCCGGAGGCCCAGCTCCTTGCCGTCCCTCTGGGCTGAGCTGACGATGCCCGTGGTCACTGTGTTCTGCAAGGCGAATGGGCTGCCGATGGCCACCACAAACTCGCCAGGCCGCAGGTCTGCCGAGCGGCCCAGCAGCAACGCTGGGAGCTTTTTCTGCTGGACGAAGGGGGAGGACACGGGGAGAGAGGCTTGGTGTCTGCCTTTGGTAGGGCCTGGAGCCAGAGCCCCAGGGAAGGTAGGGGCGGCTGTACGGAGCTGTCAGGGGCAAAGGCGGAGGCAAGTCACCAACCCTGACCCAAGCCAGGCCAGGCTCCGGCTGACCATGGTAGGAGACACCCCAGCTGGAGTCCTCAGAACAGAGACTAAGCCCTGCCAGCAGCTGCACATCTCCTCCGGTGGGCCACAGGGATCCCTCCCAGGAAGAATGCCCAGAGGGTCCCGCTGGGTGTGACCCCTGAGGTCATCGAACCCAATGGGTCAATGTTCACAGGTCCCTCTGAAAATTGGACGTAAGCCGTGGACACCGCCACCCAAGAGCGCAGCACACACAAACTGGTGCATGTCCAGGAAGAATGCCCAGAGGGTCCCGCTGGGTGTGACCCCTGAGGTCATCGAACCCAATGGGTCAATGTTCACAGGTCCCTCTGAAAATTGGACGTAAGCCATGGACACCGCCACCCAAGAGCGCAGCACACACAAACTGGTGCATGTGACTGGGAGATATGCGGGAGCCCTGGTGCCCGGCTGAGGACCCAGAGACCTTGGTTTGGGAATCTCTGGTGCAGCTCAGCCTGATCTCGCAGTATGGACACATGGGGAAACTGAGGCCCAGAAAGGTTACAGTGACTTAACGGAGCTCTGCCATCTCCCCTGCACACCGAGCCTCTGCACAGTCAGAGCCAGCAGAGCCTGTCTGTCTGTCTGACTCTGCCACTAGCCTGGGGCCTCGGAGGGCCATGCTAGGGCCTGTGGAAGATGGCATGTTCTGGAAGCTGCAGGGAGGTGCCCTGGAGCGCCTGTCGGAAGGTGCTGAAGGGTGCGCCCGTGCACGTGGATTGCTGGGAGCTAGAGCTCTGTGAATGTCCCAGTTTCAGTGTCGCCCACTGTGTCAGCTGTCACCACTGTGGCCACCAGGTGCAAAGCTCCTGGGCCTCTCAGCCCTGCTTCTGCAGCTTCCTGTGGGTCTGTGATAATTTCCAAATAAAAGCTTCATAGAAAGGTGCTGGATGCAGTCACGCCCAGGCCTCAAAGCCTCCTCCAGCTCGGGAGCCCAGTGGGTTCAGGAGGTGCTGTGCCACATGCCCACGTGGGGGGCGAGGGCCTGGCTGTGCTATTTTCTGTGTTGCTGAGGCTGCTGTAAGGGATCAGAGGGTCCCGAGTGGAGGAACCAGGCCGTGCAGTGGGAACTGCCTCTCAGCCCCTAAGTTCTGCAAGTGGCGTCAAACTGAGCTTTGGGGGAAGCTGCTGCCCCTCGGCCTGCGGAAGCACAGTGGGGGGGGCTGCGTCAAGCCCTCCGGCTCCCGTGACCATGGGGCCTGGGACGCTGTGATCCCTCCCTCTCTGCCTGTCAGTGATGGGAGGTGCTGTCTCTGCCTCCTGTCCCCAGGTGCCAACCATACCTGCAGACACCTGAGCCTTACTAATTTTACCACATCGGGGACCACAGGGTCGGCTGGGGCGTGCCCTCCGCCTCACCTGGCACTCCACACAGTCTCTGGAAAGGGGTGGACCAACCCAGTGGCAGCCAGACCCGGGGTCCCGCCTGGCCCTGCCTCACCCTGCAGGGTCCTCGGGCAGAGCTGCAAACTCTGGCCCTTGGGCTGAATCCAGGCGGTCAGACTCGGGCTCAGCAACTAGGCGAAAGGGCTCAGAGGTGGGCAACGAGGCACCGGTGGGTAATTTCGTGGAGCTTTTAAGTCCCTCTCCCGTGATCAGGCAAGAGGAAACCTCCTTGAAAGACTTGGCATCATGAGCGCCATGAACCTTTATTCAGAGAGAGCAGAAGCCAGACTCAAGCTCAGCCAAGTGGGACTCACCAGCACAGATGGCTCCACAGTGCCAACCTCCCCACGGGGACGGCCACAGCGGCTCTCGCTGAGGCCAAATTACAGCACTGGACAGAAGAAACCCGCCATGGGCCGGCGCCACCCTGGTTTAGTGTGCCCTGGGTGGTTCTACCATCTCCAAGCTTCAGTTTCCCCTCTGAAACAACCCTGACATCCCTGGGACACCGGGGCAAGGTTGGCACGTGTGTGCAGGTGCAGTTCCAGCCCACAACAGGGCCCCTGGAAACAGCTGGGGAGTGCCCAGAGGAGGCTCCCAAGCCGAGGTGGGTCTGCCAGCTCAGCTACTGGGGGAAGTGGATGTGGGGATGCAGGGCCTGGGGCATATGCCCCAAATGCTCCCCTCTGGCCTCCGTTGCCCCCATGGGGACAACTGCGTCCCCTGGAGTGGGTCTGGGAGGGACATTGGAAGTGTCTCCGGGCCTTGGGGGACTGGGTGGGAGTGACTGTGGGCAGCCTGTTTCCTGGCAGCTAGGGGGAGCGCAGGGAGGGTGTCCAGAAGCCCCATACCAGTCAGGTTTGAACCATGACCAGGAGCCCAGGGCCAGGGCCCCAGCTCTGGTCCCTCCAAGTGTCTGAGGGGGAAGCTGGGCATCTCTGAGCCCTGTGGCCTGGGCAGGTGTCCCCCGGCCCACTGCCCACTCACCTTGGGGCGGATCTTGATGGTGGCAATGTCTGACTTCTTGTCAATGTCCTTGACGGTGGCCTCATAGGTGTCCCCGCTCTGCAGCTGCACCTTGAGCTGCTCCCGGCCTGACACTGCATTGCTGCTGGACACCACGTGGGCATTGGTGACAATCAAGCCAGCCTCTGACATGATGAAGCCTGAGCCACTGGACAGGGGCACATTGCGGCCAAACAGAGGGTGCCTGTGGGGAGGCGAGCACAGGTGGGGGTTCAGGGCGGGTGGGGACCCAAGGTATAGGTCGGCCCAGCCACGGGCCGGCTGGGGAGGGCGGAGCCAGGGTGGGCTGGGGGAGTATGTGTCTGGGGTTCCCTGGGCCCGGTTCAGACCTCGGCCCTGCCACTTACCAGATGTGGCCTTGGCCGGGTCACCTAAGTCTGGGTCCATATCACAGCCGTAAAGAGGGGACAATGACCTCTGACTTGCAATTGGCTGGGATGAGACCGAGGCCCGTAAATGTCAGAGCTGTGACCACGTGCAGGCCCTCACTGCCCTGACAACACAGGCCGGAGCCAGACGACCCAGGGCGCTCATCCCGGTGCTTACTATCCGTCTGACACGGCTTGTCCTGGTCACCGTCTGGGAAATGGGGTCCTACTCCTCTGAGTGCTGATGCCTGGAGACGAGAAGTCACTCGACAGACTGGGCTATTATTGGCATCAGGGACACGCACTAATGTGCAGGCAGCATCCCCTGGGACTGTCACACCGCAGGTCCCCAGGAATGTCACTGTTCCTAGGGGCAGGGGCAGATCACTTTCCCAAAGAGGTAGGGGACCCCCTCACAGACACGAGGCGACGCAGGGCATGGGAGTCCACCTCTGTGGATGGGGTAGAAGGGCCCGGGGTCAGTATTCACCTCCGGGGAGCCCCCTGACTGGGAACCACAGCCCGCTCTGGCATGCACGCAGCTCGGAACCTTCTCTGGGGTGGGTCACCTCTGGGACCCTGGGGTGCCAGGAGCAGGTACTCAGTGTCCAAGGCTGCTGAGCAGGGATGAGCGAGGAAAGGAGCCCCCAGTACTCGTGCAGGAGAACGAACAGGAAGGCTCAGGGGCCATGACAACCGCTCATGCCACCAAGCGCTCCCTCTGAGCCAGGGACAGAGCCATTTGATGCTCGTGGCCACCTACAAGGTACGTGGGCCTTCCATTTACACATGGGGAAACTGTGGCCTGGGACATGAGGTACTTGCCTGGGCCAGGCGGGCAAAGGGCAGAGCAGGGTGTGAACCAGGCAGCCTGGCCCCCTGGCCCCTTGCAGGGTGGCCACAGCATCTGTCCCCTCATATCCGTGGCCAGCTCCCAGCCCTCCTGAGCTCCACACGGGCCAGCAGGCAAGGGCTGCACCCGATTGCCTCTGGGCACCCCACGCTGCCTGCCCCGCCAGTCGGAATGCGTAGGAGTCGGCCCTGGAGCCTCCTCGCCCAGGTCAGGGGTCACAGCCAGAGGTCCCAGTGCTCCTGGTCATCTCATCTGTGTCTGGAGTCTCACCCACCTTGGCCTCACTGCCCCTCCCCACTCAGACATTGACCTCCAAGGTCGCCATCAAAACAGCATTGCCACCTGTCTGCCGGGCTGCACTTAGCACTTAGCTGGCTTGGGGCCAGGTGCCCAGGGCCTTCTGGAAAGATGTGGTCCCATCCCAGCCATCCGCAAGGCCAGGGACATGCCACTCAGCCTGTCTAGCTGTAATTTCCTCAACTCTCGGTGTGGGGCCTGCAGAAAGGGCAGTGAGGAGTCGGCGTGCGGCAGAGGGATGAGCCCCGCTCTGGGGCTGTGGAGCCCCGGGACAGACCCCGACTTGGCACTCAGCAGCAGCTCTGAGAGCCTGGGGAGGTCCCGCCTGCTCCCAGAAAGTGGGCCCACGCTACCCCCTGTGGTCTGTGGGAAGACGCATGGTGGGAAGAGGGGACCTCAGTGCTGAGCCGCGGGCTACGCGGTCTGGGCTCCTGGGGCGGGTCCCACAGGCACAGGGCTCTCTCCAAGGGACGTGCACCCACCAGGGCTGCTCTTGAGAAACGTCTGCAAGGCAGCCGACAGAGCGCGGAGCACATGGCAGGTGATCGAGGGTGCTGCTTTTCTGGCGGCAAGCTCACCCTGTGGAGTGTCTCTGGGTGAGCACTGTCTCTGCCCTCCTGGGATGGCAACAGGGGCGCCCAGGGACAAGGGCTCCCACCGGGCAAGCTCCACGCCCCCGCAGGCAGGGAGCCCTGTGCTGGGCCAGGAATCAGGACATGGGCACTTCTGCCCATACCCAGGGACCTGCAGTCCACCTGGTCCTCTGCACCTCAGGGTTGGCATGAGGCTCTGGACAGCCTCCACTGCTCAAAGGACAGTGAAAATCAACAAGGTCCTGGCCCGTGGCCCGAGGCCTCCCGGTGGCTGTTCCCTCGGCACGTGAGCCCAGCCCCGCCGGTTCCCGTCAGGACGGAATGGAGTTCTGACCCTGCGCGTCTCGTCTGGGCTGTTTGCCGGCCCTTCCACGCAAGGGGGCCAAAAGGTTAAGAAAAACAGGCAGGAAGAACACTTTAAACCTGAGAAGTCATGCTGTTCATGTCCTCTCTTTGGGGAGTGCAAGTCAGTCTGGGAAGCCCCCAGGATCCCATGTGAGTGATGCGTTTGCAGGGCAGCAGCGTTTTGAGGGCATTGCTTCCCAGAGCCAGCGCAGACAGTGGGGGCACCACAGCTGCCACCTAGTGCACTCCTGCTTAGCACCTACAGTTCCCCAGTGTGGGGTCACTTTCCATCTCCCTAGGTGAGGACGCCAGAGTCAGAGTGGGCATTCTCAGTCCGGAGGTCTGCGTGCGGGCCACCTGACCACGCACCTTCCCGGGTCCCTCCTGCTGCTGGAAGGGAGTCTCACGTGGGCTCAGCAGACGGAGGAGGCGCCTCGGGGGCAGGGGGGGCCTTACACACCTCAGGAAGAGCTCTATGTGCACCACGGCAGGCGCGATCTTCTCCACCACGTCAGCGATGAAGTTGAACTTATACCTCGGGCTGGTCAGCTGGTGGAGACCTGCACTGGCAGAAAGAACCGGGCCCATTAGTGACCCTGCCAGTGGCCCCAGAGCTCAGCCCCAGGGGAGGGAGGAGGAGGCTCCACCGGGAGGCCCTGGGCTCAGGGCCCTGCAGGGACGTCCCACACTCAGCAGCACAGTGACACCCAGATGTTTGGGGAGAGGGGCTCCCTCGCCCTAAGAATGGTTAGCGCTGAGCTTCCCCACTTTGCCTCTGGGCACTGCCAGGAGGCTAGAGGCTCAGAGAGATTAGGACACTTGCCCTGGCCTGCACAGCAGGCAGATCTTGGGTACCCGGACTGGTCCCTTGCCCTTTCTCTCTCATACAGCATTGCCCCGGCACAAGGACACTGCCCCCTCTCGTTGCCAGCTCTGACCCGTCCCTCTAGCCCCTGAGCTAGTGTCCTGACTGGTTAAGGACACAGCAGAAGCCCCAGGTCATCCCTCTATGCTGCCTCCACTTTGGCCGCAGTGCAGCCCCCTCGTGGGCCAAGCCAGGCTGCCAAGATCTGAGTCGCCAGGGCCCCCTCTCTGCATCCAATGTGGCCATGCCAGGTCGGCCTTGCCAGGTGCTTCAAGGACTTCCCTGCAACCTTATTCAACTCAGATTTCTGCCGCCATCAGCAGCGGGGCTGAGCCTGCCAGGACCACAGGCCTGCGGCATGTGCGGGGCATGAGACTCACACGCCTTTGGTCTCTGTACTCAGGCATGCACTGAGGACTCCAGGTCCATGCCAGAGACTGGCAATTCCAGGAGCTCATGCCACCCAGCATTGCTTCTAAGTAGCCAGATGGGCCAGTGGGTTGGGAGCTATGTATACCTCGGCTTGCCAGGCACTGCCACCTCCCAGCTGTGTGGCTTCAAGTAGATTACTTACTCTCTCTGGGCCTTGACTCCTTGTCTGAAAACGAGACTGAAGATAGTCCCCACTAACTGTGGGGACTAGATGTGAATGTGACTTGTGAACGGCTGCCTGCCCAGAGAGCCCACCACCCACCTGCCACCCTGAGGTGGGAGAACAGAGGGCTGGGCCTGTGGAGTCCAGTTTCACAGCTCATGCTTCTCCTGATGCCCTCTGGGAAGTGACCGAGCCTCGGGGTCTAGTGAAACTCTGCTGTCCAAATGGAGAGGGGTACCACCCTGAGTACAGCTGCAGGGGCAGGGCGCAGGCCATAGTCGGGGCCCCATGAACACCTGTGAGCAAATGGCCATCCCAGATAACCTCCCAGCTGTCCAGGAAGAGAGCCAGCACAGGGCCATCGCCCCCACCTTACAGGTAGGAAGACTGAGGCTCAGCAAGACAAGCCCTCCTGCAGGAAGACAGCCCCTAGTTAGAGAAGAGACCAGGCTCTGAGTGCTGGCCGGTCAGCTCCCCTCCCCGGGCCCCTCACTCCCACCCAGGCTCACCAGGGCCCGAACTGCCCGCTGAGCCTGAGCCGGACCACGGGACCCAGAGGACAGCTTGCCCTTAGGCTCTGAGGTCGAGGGTGGTGAGCACGGCCAGGCCCACCGCTCCTGTGACATTTGCCTCCCCACCAGCCAGCAGGGCCCGGCCACAGGGGGCCCATCCTGCCTCTGTCAGCCGGAACCAAGGGCCGCCTGTCCTGGCTGGGAGGCGCGGCCCCTTGCCAGCCACCTCGGGCTCCTCGCTGATCAAACCGCAGGCAGCCAGGAGCCGCCACGCCCCAAAGTCCCGCTCCTGGAGGCAAAACCCCTAAGCGGGGCAGGGCCTGAGGTCCGGAGGGCACGTCAGCAGCTGACCCGGGGGCACTCTGGGCCGGAGCCTGGGCTCTCAGCTTACTGCAGGCACTCAGCACATTTATTTCCCTGTGGGATTGCTGATCCTCCCTGGAAATCTGGAGGTGACGCTGCCGGTCAGCTGTGGGGGCTGAGCCCACCCGAGGGCGGGTTTATTTCTGGCCAGGCCGAGGGAAGGAAACCGGCCGCCGAGCTTCCAGCCCCATTCGCGTTTTGTTCCCAATAAGACCCTTCTCACCAGGAGATCACCCTAGCCCTGGGCCCACAGGATCCCAGACCCGGGCCCTTCTTCCTTCGCAGGGGGATCTGGCAGGGTCTACAGCTCTCCCTGTGGGCCAGGGCTCGCGCTGTGCAGGGACGGACACTCCCAGGAGCAAAGCCAGGTGTCACCTCTCCTGCTGTGTAACCCATTGGCCATTTACCAGGGTCTCTGCTCCATCACCCACCACTCCGTGCCTCTACCTGCCTGGACCACTGCCTGCTTCTCCCTACCAAGATGTTCCAGCTAGCCCTGGGCTCACCTCAAATCCCACCTCTTCCAGGCAGGCCCCCTGCAGGCATCTTCCAGTCAGAATGGTCCCTCCCTCCTCGGGGCTTTGGGCACAGAGCGTGGCCCTTGGCCCTTGCTTTCGTGTGGTATATTCAGGCCACACATCCTGAGTGCCTTCCCGTGTACACCCCCTGCTGGATACAGGGAAGAGACCAGCCAGCGGTGAAGGGACACAGGAAAGCCCAGAGGCAGCCAGGATCCAGGTCCTGGAGACTTATGCTTCTAAGTAGCCAGATGGGCCAGTGGGTTGGGAGCTATGTATACCTCGGCTTGCCAGGCACTGCCACCTCCCAGCTGTGTGGCTTCAAGTAGATTACTTACTCTCTCTGGGCCTTGACTCCTTGTCTGAAAACGAGACTGAAGATAGTCCCCACTAACTGTGGGGACTAGACGTGAATGTGACTTGTGAACGGCTGCCTGCCCAGAGAGCCCACCACCCACCTGCCACCCTGAGGTGGGAGAACAGAGGGCTGGGCCTGTGGAGTCCAGTTTCACAGCTCATGCTTCTCCTGATGCCCTCTGGGAAGTGACCGAGCCTCGGGGTCTAGTGAAACTCTGCTGTCCAAATGGAGAGGGGTACCACCCTGAGTACAGCTGCAGGGGCAGGGCGCAGGCCATAGTCGGGGCCCCATGAACACCTGTGAGCAAATGGCCATCCCAGATAACCTCCCAGCTGTCCAGGAAGAGAGCCAGCACAGGGCCATCGCCCCCACCTTACAGGTAGGAAGACTGAGGCTCAGCAAGACAAGCCCTCCTGCAGGAAGACAGCCCCTAGTTAGAGAAGAGACCAGGCTCTGAGTGCTGGCCGGTCAGCTCCCCTCCCCGGGCCCCTCACTCCCACCCAGGCTCACCAGGGCCCGAACTGCCCGCTGAGCCTGAGCCGGACCACGGGACCCAGAGGACAGCTTGCCCTTAGGCTCTGAGGTCGAGGGTGGTGAGCACGGCCAGGCCCACCGCTCCTGTGACATTTGCCTCCCCACCAGCCAGCAGGGCCCGGCCACAGGGGGCCCATCCTGCCTCTGTCAGCCGGAACCAAGGGCCGCCTGTCCTGGCTGGGAGGCGCGGCCCCTTGCCAGCCACCTCGGGCTCCTCGCTGATCAAACCGCAGGCAGCCAGGAGCCGCCACGCCCCAAAGTCCCGCTCCTGGAGGCAAAACCCCTAAGCGGGGCAGGGCCTGAGGTCCGGAGGGCACGTCAGCAGCTGACCCGGGGGCACTCTGGGCCGGAGCCTGGGCTCTCAGCTTACTGCAGGCACTCAGCACATTTATTTCCCTGTGGGATTGCTGATCCTCCCTGGAAATCTGGAGGTGACGCTGCCGGTCAGCTGTGGGGGCTGAGCCCACCCGAGGGCGGGTTTATTTCTGGCCAGGCCGAGGGAAGGAAACCGGCCGCCGAGCTTCCAGCCCCATTCGCGTTTTGTTCCCAATAAGACCCTTCTCACCAGGAGATCACCCTAGCCCTGGGCCCACAGGATCCCAGACCCGGGCCCTTCTTCCTTCGCAGGGGGATCTGGCAGGGTCTACAGCTCTCCCTGTGGGCCAGGGCTCGCGCTGTGCAGGGACGGACACTCCCAGGAGCAAAGCCAGGTGTCACCTCTCCTGCTGTGTAACCCATTGGCCATTTACCAGGGTCTCTGCTCCATCACCCACCACTCCGTGCCTCTACCTGCCTGGACCACTGCCTGCTTCTCCCTACCAAGATGTTCCAGCTAGCCCTGGGCTCACCTCAAATCCCACCTCTTCCAGGCAGGCCCCCTGCAGGCATCTTCCAGTCAGAATGGTCCCTCCCTCCTCGGGGCTTTGGGCACAGAGCGTGGCCCTTGGCCCTTGCTTTCGTGTGGTATATTCAGGCCACACATCCTGAGTGCCTTCCCGTGTACACCCCCTGCTGGATACAGGGAAGAGACCAGCCAGCGGTGAAGGGACACAGGAAAGCCCAGAGGCAGCCAGGATCCAGGTCCTGGAGACTTCGGAGCTTGAGCCCTTCCTGACCCTGGGGCTGGGGGCTCCCGGCTCCCGCGTCAGCCAGCTGGTGACATGGGCTGCAGCAGATCCTGTCCCTTTAAGCCGACCAACCATGGTGGGCGGTGGGGAGGCGGTGAGGGGCGGGGACAGCGCCTGCTTCCTGGTCCTCCTCCCCACGCACAGATGAATCACCCCTGAGTCAGCTGGAAAGGAGGACGCGGTTCCCACTGCCTCTTTCCGCATGAAAACCTCGGGCCCCATGGCTGGGAAACGGACTCTGTTTATTTGGGGGTTTTGACAACCCCCACCCCCGCCTCGTCCTCCAGCCAAGGTTCTGAAGTCAATAGTCAGTCTCAACCAGATTCAGCTGTTAGCATGTATTTTTTTTTTATTTTTCAAAAATAAACTGTAATTCACAGGCCGTGGAAATTTTAGTCGGTTGGAACTTGACACAGCAAAGCCATTGAGGCCAGGTGTCTTGTGGCACTTCCTGGGACAGGAAGGGGCATGGCCAGGATGGAGAGAGACCAGGGAGGGGATGGGGCTCTACCTCCAGCACTTCTGCATGGCAGAGCTTCCAGGAGGGCTGAGGGACAGAGGCAGACCCAGAGCGAGGACTTACTACGTGCTCTGGATAGTCGTGACTGCCATGGAACAGGTAGGGAAACCGAGGCCCAGACACCCCACAGGGCCACACAGGTTATGGGCTGCGCAAGTCCAGAACCATTATGA